AAGGTCACTCGGAAGTCATTTGAGGTTGACTGTGTAAAGCGAAACATTTACCCAGTAGGTTTCACTACTGTTAAAAATAACGCTTAATATCTCAAAAACTATAAGAGTCCGCCACCTAGTTGTTAAGGCAAAGTTGCTCAGAATCATGACCTTGACAACATATGTCAAGGTCAAGGTCATCGGAGCTGGCTCCCCTATAGTGCATAATTACCAAGTTCTTTTAATTGCTATTTATTAACGACTCTCGTATTGCCCTTTACTTTATCCTTATTGTTATAATATAATAATTTAAATATAATATTATGAAAAAATGGTTAACGCCTAGTTATATTTAACAATTCTTCAAAAATTCTTAAAGAAAATAAATTAAAATAATTTTAATAGTTCACAAAGACTCATACTCTTTTAGCGTCATAAAAAGTATGTGTTCCCGTTATGGGTTGAAATTATAACAAAAATATATATAAATTATAGGTAATTGTATTATAACCAACAGACGTATTAACTAAATATAAAATTATACTTTTTATTATACATATTTTTCTGTATAAATATAGAATTAATTTTAAAAGATGTTTTATTTTAATAAAATTTGTCTTATGATAATTTTTCCAGGGAGCCAGCCCAGCTTTCTACAAAGCCAAGAGTTTCGATCGTGGCACAGCGACGTCCGCAATCTTTCTTGCGACCTTTGGATTATCTATGAGTATGTTCTCCTTAAAACAAATGCAGTCGTCGCACCAGCGTCGTCTGCGAAGACTCTGCTAAATGTTTTATTAGTCGTAATTTATAAAACAAACAAAATCAACAGTCATCTTGAAGAAATAAATTCGTCGATCATGAAAATATGTCTGCGCAACAATTTATCATAGTTGACAATGTTATTGTGAAGTCAGCATGCGGTATATGTTGGCTATTATACCTCCACATCTAGAGTGAGAGTTTGCGATTTATATCTATGTTGTATTAGGCAATCCTACAATTTCGAACAAATTTCGTGGCATGTTCCTCTGTTGAAGTGCAAACAATTCGTATGTTTAAAGGATCATGTCCTCGATTCGTAGACGCGCATGCAAGACCGCGTGCTTCAATCACGTAGAATTCAGTACTTGGTACAGATATAGATTACGAATAAACTAGTTTTCGTGAAAGACAGCATTGCATTCGAGCGAGACATATGTGCTTCGTGAATCGAATAGTAACTTTTTTCTAAGAACAATAAAAAAATTAAATATACACGTAGTTTATCACATAAGAAGAGATATTCTAGTCGTGTGAGCAAACGAGAAATGATGCAGCAAATACACATTTTTACACGAATTCTTTTCCGAGAAAACTTGCTGCAAATGATCGATATATCAAAAAGGATTTTTTGTGTTATTATGTATCACAATTTAGCATATCTTGTTGATTATTTTTGAAAATAGTTCCTTCTGATGCACAATCACAATTACTGACGCAATGTTATTTGATTTTATGATATTGCACGTTATCTCAATGATATTAAACAGAAATTATTTAAAGAGAAAAATCACATCAAGAAATAACATTATAATTACTACATCGACTGTGCCATTAAGTAATTATTGATTAATAAAAACTATGTTTATAGACAAATTAGAATTAAATTTTCTGTTTATATATTACGAAAAAAAATCGCGGTAAAAGAACCGTTTAGGGGACCCTTCCCCAATGACCTTGACCTATGTTGTCAAGGACATGACCCTGAGTAACCTCCAACAGGTTTTAACCGTCGCTCGTCCTTCGTTAAAAAGTTAACAATCATAGATTTAAAATCAACATATGATATATATAATACATGTATGATGTTAAGTACTATTCTACACCTTTCCTTGTTCAGGAACGTTAAACTTTCCACGCGAGGTAACTTTCATTCCCCTCCCCCCCTTGCCAAGAGACACGACTTTCATGATTGTACTGTTGGGGCAGACCTCTATCGACAGGGCGGGGGCGGGCCGTAGGTCCGCCCCCTTGCACCCCCCTCTCTCCGTGTGTATGTGTGTGTGTGTGCAACATTACAATTATAGAAGTCGTATGTGTAGATACAGTAGAATTCCGCCCCCCCCTGCGGGGGGACTACTACTGTTAAAAATAACCTAACCCAACCTATTTAGTGGTGTGAGGTAGCTCTTGCTTCGCATAGAAAGTCGAAACCCACGTGCAACAGTACAGGCATGTGACTTTCTATGCGAAAACACTTCCATTGTACTGTTGCACGTGGGTTTCGACTTTCTACGCGAAACGAGAGCTATCTCATACCACTAAATGGATTGGGCTAGGTTAGTTAGGTTTAAGTAGACAGTAAAATAACCGCTCTAAAAGATTGTTGGGTAAAACTTCGGAATTGCTACAGCGAAGAGTTCACCCTGTCGGAAGTGCACCCGTCCTCGCTTCGCATAGAAAGTCGGAAACCGTTAAATTTACGAACATTATGCATAGAACCTTTTTTGTAGAGAGTTTAAAGGGCTTTATTTTTTGTTTGAAACTTTTTTTGTGAAATCAATATTTTCTGAGATATGCGTTAAAAGAGCGAAAAGAACCGATTTTTTTTAGCAGTTTTTTCAAAATGACGGCCAAAGTATGATTGACCACCAAATTTTATTGTCAGATTCATTTTCAGGAGCCAAAAATACATGGAAAAAATGTATTTGCATTAAAATTGTAGATGCTGTAGTAATTCCGAAATTTTACCATAACTTTTTAACGAAGGACGAGTGACGGCTAAAACCTGTTGGAGGTTACTCAAGTTGACAACATATGTCAAGGTCAAGATCATTGGGAGAGGGGCCCCTAATCGGTACTTTTACCAAAATCGCTTATTCAGAATCAGCATGTTCAAAAGCAGAATGTTTTTTATAAAACGATTCTAAATGAAAGTTTTCCTCGGAAAGACTGCGTACGAGCCAAAGAGTTTCACTGAATAACAAGTCCGCGAATCTCTCCCCTTAGTTGAAATTTTAACGTAATTAGAATTGAATTGTATATATAAACTTTAACGTATCTATAATTTATCAATCAGATTTCGTTGGCAATTGCTCATCCCGTTTTCGTTACTTTAAAGTCGCATTAAATTTCTGTCATTGAATCTGAAGCACAAAATGCTTAGTAATTGTATCCAATAATATAATTTTTGTTACTGCATTGTATTGCCGCAGTTGTTCCTTGCAAATTTCACCACAAGACGGTTACCCGAAACTCAATATAAACTCTACTCTATTTTTGACAAATTAAGATGAGAATTTAATGAAATTCTTGCTGTTCGATGCTATTTTTTTTATTTTACACGACAAATACATTACTGTATTACGATTGCTCTATAAAATATATATTTATACATATATCTCTGTATCACTACAAATCTGTATATTAGAATGTATTAGTACCATCTCGGAGCATTTGTAAGATTGATCATTGTTTTTAATAAAACGTTGATTCAGTTAGCTAGGACTTATTTTTATTAAAGATTTCTCGTTAATAAATCAAGATTTACATTTAAATTCTACAGGAAAAGAATTATGAGAAGCGATTATGAGGAAACAAAATATTATAAAAGAGTAATTGTAGACATCTTATCAGAATATCAAAAAATGGATAAAGTATTGTTAAACAATATTATCAGAAGGAAATGTATATTGCGACATCTGTCCTTTGGTCTTAACGTGTGTACATTTATTTATAATTATTATACAGTCTCAGGCTTGATATTCCATGTTGTACAACGTCTTGTCATTCTTTCATTTTCTCTCTCTCTCTCTCTCTCTCTCTCTCTCTCTTTCGCTTCTCAAATTTTCATTAAAAAATCACGTTCATGCCGCAGAAGAAAAGAACTGCGAGCTAAGAGTCCAGTTTCATTATTCGCACGAGTGAGATATAAAGATTTTCTCTTTTGTATTTTTTTATCATATAAATGTATCTTCACTTGTTTTTACGGCATGGACACGCAATTGCTCATATAATAAATATATACACACATACATACTCTCGCGCGCGCGTGCGTGTGTGTATGTATAAAATTCATAGAAAGATCTATGATAGAATTAAGGATTACAATCGTCGGGCCGCTCGATTCAAAAATTCGTGTAGTCGAGTATACAATGTGACATACATTTTTAAATGATCCCTGCGATAGATAATGCACAAGAAAAAAGGATTCGGGAGACTTCAAAATAATTAATTTAAAATTCGTAGGACTTAAACATATATCTTTGATAATTTTTCCTATATTCGGCGTTCCGCTTTTTCTATTTTAGAATTCGAGATTACTAGGATTAGAAATCTGATTTCGTGCGATCAAAAGAAGAAATTTCTTCCGTCCAGAATCATTCTTTTTGCAATGTCTTTCGCAAATATTTTTTGGTAAAAACGTTTAAAAAAAATTAAAAGAGAAAAGGCTCTATTTAAATGAGAAAAAGAAAGAAAAATAACGTTGGTAAGCGCGAGATCCTCGGTAGACAAAACTCTCGATAGACGAAACAAAACCATTTTACATCGCTTTACAAAATTTTTTGCGATACTGTTCTTATTCTGGAGATCGTATATCGTCATGCGTAACGGTACGAAACAATACAATCGAGTAGAATGTTGCTTCCTCGAAGCTGGATGTAGCTATCACAGTTATTCCCCGTATGGAGATCGATCGATACAACGTGGCGCAGCTATTTCTTTTTTCTTCTGCTGTCTATATAATATTGTATTACATAGGAATAAATGATATGTCACAACGAAGGATGCTCCAATTTTTTTTCAACTGGGCTACCCTTCGGCAACAAGAATACAAAAAGCGTGACGGGGAATTCTTGGAAGAAAGGAGGAAATTCCGCCGTCCCATATCCTGCGTCAACCTGTGTGTCAATGGAACGCTGTGAACAGTTAATACGAATTGCGAGATTAGATGCAATAATATATTGATTGATATGCGAGAGGAGAACCGCGGAAATCAACATTCCGTTGAATATTATTAATCTCAAATTGAACATCTCAACGGTTATGGAAAAGGGATAAGCGGGCTTTATTCCTCTGTATCTGTTAATGATCATTTTAACGATATTCTACTGATGGCAGTCTGTGCAGGGAGATAAGTGCCTATCAAAAATGAGTTTTTTGACAGTTCACAGATGCGATGTTGATGTCGTTGATTTCTTTCGCCGCGCGTGTCACGAGATTGTACCGACCAGGCTCGGTCAACAATCAATTCCTCTATATAATAATAATGTATTATCGAGAAAAAGGAGAACGTGTGTGTAGGTATGCGTGTCTAGTACATCGTGTGTATTGGTGAAAAGAAGAACGAAATTCAACACCACGATCGGCGCAATCAGGCATCGTCTGTGACATGTGACTCGAGCTGCCCAACGATTGAGATACGCCGCGTGCCGGGCCGGGCTTCCCGAGCTTTTTGTCCAAAATACATCGCTCATAAGTATATATATCCGTTTATCTTCTTTCCATGTTTCTCAAAGTAGATGCCGATCATATACAGACGAAACAGGCGCGAAAAGAAATCTTTTTAATGCGCAAATTAACGTAGACAAACGTAATCAATTCGACCGAAAATCTATAGAGCTAACTGGAACGTACAAATTGGGTAGATAAACGAATATTTATGAACGGTGATGCAAGTTGATCACGCGCAACAGAAGTATGTATACGATAAGAAAATAAATCCGAAACTCTGTTTTAATAATCATGCCGCATATAAAGAGGTGCCCCACAACCCTCCATTCTATATTCCCCCGATTCTGCCTACTTAACGAGACACTCCGGCGAGAGCCTGGCGCGTTTACCTATCTAATTGTAAGGAATTAAGCTACAAAGTGGCGGTACAATCGCTTTCTCACCTCTCTCTTTCTCATTCACACTGTTATGCTTCTTACTTATCTCTTTAAAACTCATCTATCTCACTACAAGTCAAATCATGTGTGTATGTATAAGTTCAACGCGACAGGACTGGACAATGTTACACGCAGCCCAATGTGTCGGACAGACTTCATGATCCGTCTTCTTCGTGTTTTCGAAAATATGCGTGCGCTCGTAAAAAGGATCTTGTGTGACTTGCAATATACTTAGTTTCCTGTCAGAATTTCGTTATTTATATTCGTGTTACATAGTACTGGTATCTCGCCATCCAGCCCTGTCCTAGTGCTGATAGGTAATGCGTTTCCCTTTCACTTATGAAAAATTTATTCGGACAAATTTTGCGCATCGTCGTCGATGTCGTCGCCTGATTTTAGCGTTACTCAATAATCGTTATGTACCGCGCTCGATAGTCATTCCAAGAACGGTAAAACTCGCAGCGAAGCTGCTAATAACTTCGCTAACACAGAAGCCTCATCGCATTTCATCGACTTTGAAACAAGAAAATTGTCCAAGTCATTCCTTTACGTATAAGACTTATAAGTCTTGGACTAAAATTTAATACAAATTACAAAGGACGCGAACGAGTCGATTGATATTTCCGATTAAATAGGAACGTATCCA